TCTGGTTAAGATGGAAACGAAGCCCGTGCTTACCTCGAATGAGAAGAAAGTCAAGCTGCAGAAGAAGCTCGAACAGAAAAAGGAGGACCAAGCAAGGACAGTCGAGTTCAAGAATCAGGGTCTCAAGGCCAAAGCATCCTCCAGTGCTGACCCTCGCGAAGCCAGGATACTCCCCACGCCGCCCCCAGCACCTGTGCACAGGGGAGACTCGGCGTCTCGGAGCCGTTCACCGATTGCCAGAAAGATGCAGTACTCAGTTGGGTTCAAGAAACAGCTGCAGGGTGGCGGGTCGGGGTCGAAGCCCGAGTCGGATGATGCCTTACCAGAGACGCAGGACTACCGTGGGGAAACACCTGTCAAACCTGTGGGCGGCACTACCTGGGAAGTACCGTCTTCGGGATCACCAGACTCCAGGAGTTCCTCTGGCTCTGAAGCGGAAGTCGACTCGCCTGACCGAAGGTCGCAGCCTGCCCCAAAGAGCTGGGAACAGGATAAGAAGCCTTGGATCAGTAAGTTGGGCCCTCCAGTGTTGAAGTCTCAGTTGGAGTACGATCACTCAGGATGCCCAATTTTCGCCCCAAAGGGCGGCACAGACCACACCAGCTCAAGGCGCTACATTATGGCTTTCGTTCCCCAGCTTACAGGTTTGAACACCTTCAAGGCAAAGGTAGGGGAACACTTCCAAATCATCACAGCTCGTGAGCTTACGCCTTTCATCATCGACAATCAAGGGCCACTGGTTTCAGACAGTATCCCAGTTTTGGGAGAGCACGGCTTTCTCACTACCAGGGACGTCACGAAGATTCTCTGGCACTTTGGGCTCAACACGTTTCGTTCTAAGGATATTCATTTGTTCAATGCGCGGTTTTATACCAAAGAAGCGTTCATTGGCCCAGAGGTCTGCCCCAAGAAGGAGAGGTTACATGACAAATCTCAGATCTTCGCTGGCAGCTGCATTGTTGTACTCCTCTACGTCAAGGACATGTTTGAAGATGTTGGAGATCTTATCACGGTGGAGTCTGGCAATAACGGTGCTAATGTAAGGTGCCATCTGCTTTGCAAACCTCGTTTCCTGATGTGACCGAGGCAGCTCAGAAGATACAGCTAAAGTGCCTCTTCCCCTTGGGTCCTCAGCTCTCTTCTTGGTTCAACTCTGGATCAATCTGGGGTTGCAAGGGCTTTCAGTGAGACCCCAGGTCATTTCTCTGAGGCAGGGATTAAGTTCTGCTTTCTTCAACACGTCCGTCAGGGCCAAAGTAGCGGGGTCGATTCTTGCTTTTCACCCACAGCCTCGTTGGAACATTTCTTAACTTGGGATTGCTTCGCTTTTAGTTTGGTCCGTCACTTCAGTTCAAACGGGCTTGGGTGGGATTGCTAATTTCATCACATTGTCAGGATTATGACTTTCGATTCAATCTGGGAATGCCTGGGATTACAAGTGTCTCAGGGCATTGGCCTCCAGGCCATTTATCATGAGCTGGGACTGCATCATATTCTTCTCAATTCGGCTGACGGGGTTAAGTGGGGTTTCTTCTCACTCTTTTGCCCAGGGCCCCGAAGTTTCAAGTTTCAAGTTTCAAGTTTCAAAATTTCTTCTTGGGGTAGTTGGGCGATCAGTTTGCTGCTTCACTTCAGTACAAATGGGTTTGGCCTGGGATTGTTAATTCCACTTCGCTGGCCAGGACGATGACTGCCGTCCGACCCCTGATAAAGTGCATCTCTTTTCTCTATCTCTCCATCTTTTGAATCCACATCTTTCGGTTGTCCTGGTGTCCTGGTTGCTTCCTGTAGTCATTTTGGTTCAATTCGCTTTGCCCGTTCTGCTCCAACCCCTTCTCAAGTTATCTGGGAACACACTCTCATGCTTGCCCCTCAGAGGGTCGTCAGGCCATGGAATTCAAAGTCTCTCCAGTGCTGTATCTTCGAGGCGTGGGCATCCGTCTGCCCACGTGCACTGGCAATCGAAAGTTCCGAGATCGTTCCTGTAAATTCAGGATCATACAACCCACGGAAATGCGTCACACTCCACATGTATGAGAAGGGGCGCGAATTCGAGATACCCCTCAGGCAGCTATGGAATCTCTTTGAGGAATTTTTCTCAAGCAAGGCATGCAAGGACCTTATTGGGATCGTGGGAATTGCAGTACGCTCTATGTCTTTTGTACAGATTAAGACAATGTCATACAAGGGCGCAGTGTTCTACGACAACCGCTGGTCAGACCCTGGGAATTTCATCTACACTGTCTGGTGGAATATTTGGGGTCAAATGGCCAGGTATCTTCAAAGACGACAACCTACCAGTGCCTCGTCCAAGTCCATGGAGGAGCTTCGCTCAGTTGCTGGTCGTGTCACCGATGTACAGAGGATGGTCCGAGAGCGGTGGAACAGGGAACCCGACACTTCTCGATGGCTAGAGCTTATTGGAGATTTGATGGAGTTAGGGCTGGGAGCGGGGTATGTTGAACCAGATCAGTTCTGGAACATTATTCAGGGGATTTCTCCTATCATCTGCTCCATTCGGTCTATTTTGACGTTTGCTGATCAACATGGGTCTTTTGCTAGGACCGGGAAAGACCGTCGCCTTTTTCGCGGCCCATGTGCACCTCACACTCGGAAGTTTGCCGTGGCAATGTTTCACGGAATGCAAGTGCACAAATTTAATGTCACGGAATCTTCAGAGGTCTGGGTATCTTACCTAATTGCGGCCTCAGAGAACAGGCTCCAATACTAATGGAGCGGGGTATTTGACGCCCCACGGAATTTGCATTTGGGTCTGTATCGAGACCTATTTGTGTCCTCCTCTCCTCTCTTTGCCTCCCACCTAGGGGATTGGCTGACACCAGGAGATGTCACTTGTGCGATTCTATCTGGGACCCGCCTGGTCCATGCGATCTTAGGGACACCGTGGCTTCGCAACAATCCATCCTTCCTCAGGATGCCTCCGTGTTCTGGGACTCGAGTCTGTTCTCCTCTCTTGGGGTCTGGGGGGGTGGCCCCCTCCCCTTCCCTTGCCTCCTGTCGGCTCCTGCAGCCTCGGGCTCAAGCTTTCAGTATGCTACTTCCCAAGGCATCGGACCCTCACGTTATCTTTCAGGGGAAGCTTTGCAGGTCTAAACGCAAAGTCTGCTTCCTGTCTAAACAAAATCTTGAGGCACTCTCATACTGCTCTACGCTGCTATTCCAAAGGGTGGTCAAGTTGCCAGCTCGGTTTCTTGTACCATCGGACCTTGGTGGTCCTCATTTCACTTATGACTGGTGCAAAATCCCGCTTTTCAGAGCTTGTCGGGACAGCGGCTTTAAGGGACTGTATGTCAACGTTCGGGGTCCCGACGAAAGGGTTCGGAGAGTTCCTTGGAAAGAACTGGCTGCTGGTCAGTAGCCGTTTCGCCTCAAATGCTGACGGGAACTCTCGTCCGAGACGGCTGGGAAACATCCACATCCATATCCAATTCCAGGGGATGGCCAAACGCAGCCTTCCAGTCAAGCTAGCCGCCAAGAAGCGTCTCAAGTGGACACACGGCTCAGGAGGAATGTGGAACTACTGTGAAGAGGAAAAAGTCTACACCAAAGTCTGGTATACGGAGTACTATGACACGTGGTTCGACCCCGAATCGGGCTGGCCTCACCCAGTGGTATGGTACCTATCTGACTACTGGTGGGACGGAGACTTCTTTGTGGAAAAGTGGCGCTGGAAGTACCCGTGAATGCAATTCCTGGGACTCCGACAGACTGAATCCCCTGGCGTCTGCGGTGCATGGGCCTGCGGCTTTTGGAGGACTCCCAGTATCCCTCAATCTCCTATGCATGTTCTTCAACGTTGTTGGTTGGCAAAATACAAAAGGTTATAAACAGATCCATCTTGCGCCCTCCATACTTGTTTGAATTCAACCTTACTCCATTGGTCTTGATATGCCTGGGGTGGGTTGTCACGGTTGAGTTCTCACTCGGCTTTGACATTCCATCTTGTATGCCTCCGTATCTTCTGGGTTCATTGCGTGCTTGGGACATTCAGTTTCTATTTTAGACTTTCGTTCAGTACATATATCCGTCTTGGTTGCTACTTATGTTCAATGGGTTTCATGGGACTCAATGAAAGATTTCTTTACTTCTTGCTTACTTCAGACCTTGGGACCATATGCCCCCAAGATTGGCTTCAAGAGCTACTCAAGCCACTCAAGATTGTTGATCAATTTGAGCATACTCCTTTATCTTGCATTACGTTTCTCATTTTTCTCTTCTTCATTCAAAGCAAGAGAGACCTTGTGGTGGGATTCATTTGGGACATCGGACAATCTATCATTCATGATTTCTTTCAGTATCATGGGTTTCAATCCTGGGCTGGGCTTCACCTTTCTTCTGCTTCATCTTCCTTCCGCCTCTCCTCTCGCCTCCCTCTTTCTCTACCGTACGCATTTGGCGTATTGGTGGCTTCTCAGGTTTGTGTTTTGGGAGAACCGACCTTTCAAGGCGCTTCATCATCATCATCATCATCCCCCTCCTCCCCCCACTCCTCCTCCCCCCCCCCATCCCCCCCCTCCTCCCCCTCCCCCCCTTGTTTCGGGGCTGACCGCTATAGCGCGTTGCCGGCCGCGGCGCGCACGGTTGTTGCCGGGTGCCCCGCGTGGCCCCCCCCGGCCGCGAGACGCGGTCAATGGGGGGGTGCTTGGGCGTTGCGGACCTCTCTCTGCGACTTTGCGATTCGACGGGCGTCCGCGGCAGCCTCCGGCGTTCTTGTGACGTGGCGAAGCATGGCGTGCATGGCTGTCGTTCCGACTGCCCTGCTGGGCCCCGCGGCGCGGCGCGGGCGCGGCGCGCGCGCCTGTTGCTCCGTCCGCCCTGCAAGGTGTTGTTTGGCAGCGGGGGCGAATTACTTGTCTTTCTCGTTGCCTCCGCAGCCTCTCGGGCGGCTCAAGCGCGCCTCGCCTCGTCGCCACCCCACCTTTGTCGCAGTCAGCCGCGCAGGCGCGAGCTCGCCCCACCCCATGACTACCGCCCGCGCGATGGGGAACGAGCTGTCGCAGATCCTGGATGAGTTCAGCGTCGACCAGCAGATCCGCGGCACGCTGGAGCAGAAGGGGCACTTCAAGCTGCGGCAGTTGGTCGAGTCTGTCGACGACATCAAGGACTGGACGGGGATCTTGGCATCGATGAATCCGCCGATCACGGACGGGCAGCGCGCGGCTGCAGTCCGGAGAACATACGGGACAGCGACGCTGCGGGGCGAGGAGCGGGCCCGCCGGAGCAAGGACAAGCCAGGCGAGGAGATGGACGCGCCGATCGACCCGGTCACGCGCAGGACTCTCATTAAGGCCCGCAACGAGCGCCACCGTTTCCTTCTGCAGTTGGCGCGCCAGCCAAGCGACTCGCTCCACGGCCACTTTAATTGGAAAACGGAGCGCGGCAAATACGCGGTCATCAACCTCGCGAAGGTGAGTTGCGTGGCCCCCCATTGCGCACGCGAAGCATTTCGAGGTTGTCCCGGGGATCGCCTTCAGTTTGGGGGCGCACTGCCATCTCCCAGACACAGGGGGCAGTAAGTCTTTGAGCGTGGCGCAGTGGCTGCTCAACGTGCGGATCCTGTACAACGGCTACTCAGTCGTTGGCATCATGGGGTGCCTGAACAAAGCGAAGGAGGGCGTGCTCCGGTGCTCTTGGCCGCTCGTGTCTCGTTTCGTGGGCGCCCTGGTGGACCTGGCGACGACCGACGGCCCAGGGGCCACAGTCAGGCCCAATGTGGGGGCATTGCATCTCGCCGAGCGGCAATTCCGCGCGCGGATTGTGGAGTTTCTTACGCAAGCGCCGGCAGGGCAGCCCATTTCTTTCGATGGAGCCATCCAGACGGCGCTCATTGAAACGCAGAGCTTCTTCCGCTTCGCGGCCCCAGCGGCCGCGCCAACGCCGGCCGCTACGGGCGGCGGCCGCGGCGGCGGACAGCCGCCCAAACGCCGGCGCACTAGCCCGGACGGCGGCGCGGCGAGCAGGCGGCGCGCTGGGGGGGGGGGCCACGGGGCGCCAGCCAGGGCAGGGGCGGCCCGCCTGGCCTCGGAGGCGGCGAGTCGCGCCCGAGGCCGAGGCTCGCGCGCTACAACGCGATCGGCGACCTCATCTGCCCAGACTGCAACGCTGTCGGTTCCGCTCCACGCATGTACAAACACAAGCACACGTCGCAGAAGGTTGCGCGCTGCTGTGATATCTGGGGGAGTTGCAGAAGGCGGGGGAATGAGTGAGAACCCGCGGGCCTGGCGTCGCGCTCGTCACCCGCGCCCGCGCCGGCGGTGGATGGCGCGCAGCGGAGGGTTTGCCCCCCTTCTGCGAGCCTGACTGCATCATGGCGCGTCCGCGCTCGGCCCCGCGCGCCCCGCCCAGGCGGCGCGCGCGGCAGGTCTGGCAGTCTACGCTGGCCGGCAGCCCCGGGCTTGCTCGGTCGGCCACTTGGTCCCTGACCTTCCTCGGGCTGCATTCATAGAATGCGTCTTAACGCAGGTGTCGCACCCCCTGGCGCGCCCGTGCTCATCGGCGGCCAGGCTGCCCCAGCGCGTTCAGCTCGCGGCATGGCTCGGGAAGGCCGTCGCGCAGCATCGGTGGGAGCTTGATTCTGCGCTCTGGCGCAAGCAGGCGGAATCGGCCGCGAGCTACGCGAGCTGGAGGGCGGGCCCCGCGGCCGACCAGGAGTCGCTGCGCAGGCGCTGGAGCGCCCCGCTGTTTCGCAGGCTCCTTGAAGAAGCGGAGTACGAGGACATGGGCGTACCCCGCAACCTGCTCGAGGGCATGCCGGTCGCCGGCCTTGCGAGCGACAGCGGCGCGCGCTTGCTGAAGACCGCCGCGCCCGCCATGTCTGTCGGGAGTTATGGATTCGGGCCCCGGCGCGCAACCCAGCCTTCGTCGGAAGGCGCGGGCCCGCTGGCGACCCCGAGCTGGATGAACGGGCCTGCGAGAAGACTTGCGCAAGGTTCAAGTTGAACCTGATGGAGGGCCCCTTCGACACGCTGGAGGCGCGCCCTGGCACAGGCAAAGTCTTCGTTCGTCGCAAGCCCCGATGGCGAGACAATGACGCGCGCAACATTGACGACTGTTCGAGGAACAACATCAATGCCACCTTCGGCAGTAAAGAGACCTATCGGCCGGCGGGGATAGATCATCACGCATCCGTCGCCAGGCTGTGGGAAGCCCTGTGCCCGGGCGCTGTCCTCAAGGATCTCGTCGCGGACCTGTGGAAGCATGTCTGGCAGGTGCTCGTAGGCCTCAATTTGGTCGTCGTTCTCGGGTGCACCCGCGCGAAGCGCGCGCGGTTTGGGCGCATTCGTGGTAGCCCATTCGGGGCGGCCGCGCGTGCCCAGACATGCGCGAGGCTGCCCGTGGCTGTGCGCGCCTTGCTGCAACACCATTTATTGATACCAGCGCAGCACTACCAGGACGACCATCACTGCGTTGAGCCCGGTTACAGCGCGGCGCAGGCGCGGTTTCTGTCCAAGCTGTTCCACGAGATGGTCGGGCCTGAACTTGCAGAGCCTGGTGGACCTATGTTCACCCCGCCTACCCCCCAGTTCAAGCAACTGGGCATCTGCAGCGACCTTGCCGCCTCACCACGCGAAGTTTGTGTCTTGCCAGCCCGCGTCGAGGCGATCTGCGTTGAGTTGCGAGCTGTCCGGGGCGCAGGGCGCCCGAGCAGCGGCCTCGCGGCAGAGTTGCACGGCAAGTGGCGTTAGCATCAGGGCTGCTCATCGGCAGGTTCGGCCGCGCGTATCTTGGGCCTTCCAAGCGACGCCAATGCAGCAGGCACGGGCGCAGCAAGCTGAACGTTTGCATTCTGGCGGCTATCCAGTCCTGGATGAATGTCCTGCCGCGTTGCCCATTCCTGGCTGCGCCCCCGGGGCCGAGCGCGCCGTCCGTCGTCGCGATGAGCGACGGCGAAGGATTCGGCTTCATTGCGGCCGCAGTTTGGAGCCCCCTTGCCAAGGGCGGCGCGGCTTGCCCACGGTGGTTCCTGCTGGACCTCTCTGAGGAGGTCTTGTCGTAGTGGGCGCTAGGCGATGGCGCTGATGCGAACAGTCAGATTCACAAGATCGGGTGCGTTGCGCCGGCGGTGCGTTGCAGCGCGTGGCCACACCTCCCGCGAGGCTCTCCGCGGCTGCACTTCATTGACAAAGATGGCGCGCTGGGCTTCTCGATCGCGGGGAGTTCGCGGTCGAGCCGCATCATTGCCTACGCAGAGGGTTACGCGCGGGCGCAGGTGCCCGCGCTCTCTTGCTGGCCGTGGTCCGACCGAGTCCCGACCGAAGCAACGTCGTCGACAGTCAGTCCAGGAAACAAATTGAGGAAGTCATCCGCGGTGAAGGCGTAGTGTTATGTATCCACCCACGGGTAGATTCGGGAAACGATTGCCTTGCAAATTTGGGTTCAACATTGGTCCCCCCGCTGGTGTCCTAAGTGGGACGCCCTGGCTGTTCAGTCGCAGGTAGTTTTTTCCTTGTCGCGCTCCGAGGCCAGGTTTTCGGGCGGGCCCGGCGTGTCGCTTGAGACTTCCTCACTACCCATGAGCCTGAAACTTACAAATTGGCAACAGCTCCACAGATGAAGGGCGGGGCGTTTTCAAAATGAGGTTCTCGCCTTATCGCCGCGTACATTCGTTTTAGAAATTCGCAAAAGCTTCACGGATTGAGAATCACCCGTTTTCGATATGTGGTTTTCACCTCAGCGCCGCGCACATTCGTTTCACAAATTTGCAAGAGCTTCTCTGATTGAGGGTCACCCGTTTTCAAAGTGTGGTTCTCGCTTAGCGCCGCGTACACTCGTCCTAAAATTGGCAAGGGTTTCGCGGAGTGCGGGCGGTTCCTTTTCAAGATGTGGTTCTCGCTATTGCGCCGCACAAGTTCGTTTTCAGAATTCGCGAGAGTTTCTCGGATTCACACGACCAACGTATCAGAAATTGTGCTTTGGGAAGGTTCAGGAATTTACGGCTGCAACAGTTACGTTGGTTCGCGGCGTTGAGGTCCCAAGAATGCCGTTCTGGCACGATCCGGGACTGTCAAGACGCAACATCCAGGTTGATCCGTGGCGTTGGAATCCCGAAGACCGTGTTTTGGCATGTTTCCGGGTCTTCAACGGTTGAGTTCCAACGAGGCAGATCCCTCAATGGAAATGAACCGGTGTAGGGACGTATGAACAGAGAGCTTGGAAGGCAAGTGTATTCCAACATCGCTGATGGCTCTTAGGTTTACACTTGTCCTCCTCTTTCTCCTCTTCCTCCGCCTCCTCCTCCTCCTCTTCCTCCTCCTCCTCCTCCTCCTTCTCCTCCTCCTTCTCCTCCTCCTCCTCCTTCTCCTCCTCCTCCTCCTCCTCCCCCTCCTCCTCCTCCTCCTCCTCCTCCTCCTCCTCCTCCTCCTCCTCCTCCTCCTCCCTCCTTCCCTCTTAGGACATCCGGCGCCTTCCCCTCCAGAATCGGTTACACGTAAGGGTGACCTTTTTTTCCGGAATGACCTGTGGTGCGGGCTCACTTGGGCCCCCCCGATCGCTGAGCGCGATGCGATAGTTGCTGCCTGCGCGCTTGGGCTTGGCCACCCCGCGCCCCTTAAATCCGCGCATGAAAGGGTCCCTCTTGCCTAGGGTCATTTTTGTGTGTGGCCGACGGAAGCGTGGTTGCGCCTGCCTCCCGCAGGAGCCGCCCTGGGCGCACCCCCTCCTGACAACTCCCTCCCTTTCCCCCTCCCGTCCTCCTCCTCCTCCTCCTCCTCCCCCCCCTCCCCTGTGCCTCTCCTCCTCCTCCTCTCCTCCTCCTCCTCCTCCCTCCTCCCCCTCCTTGTTCCTCCTCGTCCTCCTCCTCCTCCTTCTGTTTCTCCTCCTCGTCTTCCTCCTCCTTTTTTCCCCCCTTCGTCCTCCTCCTCCTCCTCCTCCTCCTCCTCCTCCTCTCCCCTCCTCCTCCTCCTCCTCCTCCCCTCCTCCTCCTCCTCCTCCTCCCCCTCCTCCTCCCTCCCTCCCTCCCTCCCCTCCCTCCCTCCTCCCTCCCCCTCCCTCCCTCCCCCTCTTAGGGCGTGCCTGCGCCTGCGCTCACTGCAGCCGCCCTGGGCGCACCGCCTCCCCCATCGCTGGGTGCCGCCGCGCGCCCCCCGCGCGCGCGGCCCTCCTCCTCCTCCTCCTCCTCCTCCTCCTCCTCCTCCTCCTCCTCCTCCCTCCTCCTCCTCCTCATCTTCCTTCTCCTCCTCCTCTTCCTCCTCCTCCTCCTCCTCCTCCTCCTCCTCCTCCTCCTCCTCCTCCTCCTCCTCCTCCCCCTCCCCCCTCCCCCTCCTCCTCCTCCTCCTCCCCTCCTCCTCCTCCTCCTCCTCCTCCTCCTCCTCCTCCTCCTCCCCCTCCCCCTCCTCCTCCTCCTCCTCCTCCTTCTCCTCCCCCTCCCCCTCCTCCTTCTCCTCCTCCTCCTCCTCCTCCTCCTCCTCCTCCTCCTCCTCCTCCTCATCTCCTTCTCCTTCCTCCTGTTCCTCCTCCTTCTCCTCCTCCTCCTCCTCCTCCTCCTCCTCTCCTCCTCCTCCTCCTCCTCCTCTTCCTCTTCCTGCCTCCTCCTCCTCCCTCCCCCTCCGCCCCCATCGCGGGCCGATGCGCGCCCCGCCCTCGCGCGGCCGCCACCGTTGCACGGGGCGGCCCGCCCGGGCGCGGCCCGCCCGGCCGTGGCGGCCGGGGGCGGGCCGCGCGGCGCTGTGCGGGCCAGCCCGCCCGGAGGGAAGGGCCGATTCGCTCCGAGCGTCGTCGTCGTCGGCGGCGTCGGCGTCGTCGTCGTCGGCGGCGTCGTCGTCGTCGTCGTTGTCTTCGTCGTCGTCGTCGTCGTTGTGTCGTCGTCGTGGTCGCCTCTGGCCGCACCAGGCGCAGCGGCGCCAGCGGCTCCGACGGGCCAGCCCGCCGGGCGGGAGGGGCCGATCCGAGCCGAGCCGACATTGACATCGGCTCGATCGAGCACCCAGAGATCCAGCGTACTGGAAAACAACCGGGGCGGAGTTTTTTTGTCCGTCGTTTTCGGCCTCTAGAGGCCCTCGCCTGGCCCTTGGACCGTCAAACAACGATTCAGGATGACAATCCGTCTGGACGCCCGAAATGGGCTCGGAAAGAATGGGTACAATGCCTAACAGCAGTTCCTGCTCATTTTGAACAGGATTCGCTGTCAACGCCGCCACGGCCTGTGTCCATTCGAGACAGAAGGCCGCCTGCCCAACAGCGGCCGCCGTTGGTTTGGGACAACATTTGTATTGGGCATTGTACCCATTTTTTCCGTGCCCATTTCGGGCGTCCAAAATCCGGTCCCAGGGAAGGGGTCGAGACTTCCAGGGACCACGCATAGGAAAAATAATACATCGGATCTCTCGGCAGATGGGTCCCAGAGTCCAGATTGGAGCGATGGGGGTAATGCACATGGTGCGGTGGGAGGTGCAATTGTTCGCTTGCGCAAACTCTTGCGCGAACTGTTGGTGGGGGTGCGAACTAGTGCAAGCGGCGATAACTAGAGCGTTCGAAAGAATATACGATTGCATCCGCGCGCAACAGTTGCGTCCTGACCGCAAACTGTTCGATGCGTTGGACAACGATGGCAGGTACAATTCCACCTGCTCGAGCCCCCCATATGTGCCATACAATTCCATGAATCCTGCTCCAGCAGAGTACATTGCGATCCGAGTCGATCTCCCAACGCATCCGTCGCTCCAATTTCTTGGATGCGTGGCCCCCAGAGGTAGAGACCACTTCCTTGGAGCCAGTTGTTCGTCCTGAGCCGTTGTTTGACGCGCGCTGGGCCCGTTGAGGGCCCCCAGAGGCCGACAATTGTCAAAACAGTGCGCTCCAATTTGTTTGAAGCCTCGGATCTCTGGGTCGGTTACGACTGGCTCGATCCGATTCGCTTCCGGATCTTCGGGCGATTTGGTGCGGCCTGGTGCTTGAGTGGCCCTGTTGGCGCGGCCACTCGGCCTCCTCCTCCTCCTTCTCCTGCATCTCGTCCCTTTTCCTCCCCCGCTCACCTCGCTCGAAGAAGACAAGTTGCTCCAAGCATCGACTTGGAGGAACATTCCAAAAGTTGATGCGTATGTCACTATGTCTTCATATGTTCATGTATCGCGTTGCTCATTCATGTATGCGGCGCCTGCGGCCTGAAGATCCCTGACGCGCCAGGGGTTGACCCCGTGCGGCTCGATTGCTTGTCTGAGGTACTGCTGGGCGAGAGGGTGTTTGCACCGACTATCTGATTCACTCGATTCGCCGTCCTCCCTCCTTCTCCTCCTCCTCCTCCTCCTCCTCCTCCTCCTCCCCCTCCTCCTCCCCCCCCTCCCCCTTTCCGTTCTCCTCCTCCTCCTCCTCCTCCTCCTCTTCCTCCGCCTCCCTCTGTCCCGCCGAGATGGCTCAGCGAGGCCGAGCCTTGTTCCGCATCGGTACTGGCATCGCCACGGGTGCCCACTCCTGCTCCTAGTCAGATGCTCCTTGGCACGGGGAGGCCGCCCTGCACGTCGATATGGACTGCGGAGGGCCACGCGAGTGGCAAGGCAGCGGAATCCAGCAGAAGCATCCTCGTCCCTCTTCCTCCCTCCCTCCCTCCCTCCTTCTTCTCCCTCTCTCCCTCCTTCCTCACCAATCCTTCTTCCTCCCTCCCTCCTTCTTCCTCCCTCCCTCCCTCCCTCCTTCTTCTCCCTCTCTCCCTCCTTCCTCACTAATACCTTCTTCCTCCCTCCCTCCTT